TGTGGCTGGCACACACTGGCCAGGCCAGGTCACATGCTGTAGTCTCAGTGTCATAAGTTTGAGTCAGAGTCTAAGTCTGACTCAGAGCCACTAATGTACATCTCAGCCTCCCCATCCTTCCAGTTTCTCCAGTAACAGCATCTTTATGTTGCTAAATCACACCAGTTTACTGCTCTTTGAGTGGACATAGGACATATGGACAGAGGACGTATTTAATTGTACACAATTATACATACATGTGCACAAAATGCCAGCTATAAGTGGTGAGTATGAGTGTGTTTGCCAAAGAAATGTATAATACAATAGGTGATCCTGGAGGTATGTGCTTGGTTCAAAAACAGCTGTTCAAAACCCTTTAGCCAAATGGATCCAATGTTACTTTAGAGTCTGAGGTATCTAATCTGACAATGCAGACATAACTATGTCTGTGTATGCAGTCCTATACAAATATGCTTGATTGACATGCATAGTTTTATCAAAGAAGGGATGGCACAATGCAGGTTTCGGTGTGTGTGTGTGTGTGTGTGTGACCGCACCTTACCAAAGCAGTGTGTTTGTTTATGAAAAGCAAGACAAAGGCTAAATACCAGTGGTTTGTAAAACCGCTGTGCTCTACATACAGTACATACAATTAAATGTAACCTATGCATTGCAACAAGTACAGAAAAAAACCTTTTCCAGTATCAATCAAGGGATGTGAGAGTTTATTTCTGAGCTCACTTTGACAGTGTATTTCTGTCATTGGATTACTGGTCTAACAGACGTGTTGTAGTCACTCCAGCAGCTACAGTGGTGTTAGTCAAAGATAATGTTTCAGGGATGATGATTTTATATATAGGCTACTGTCAACAGGGATGATACATAAACAGTAAAACAATTGCTCTCTGGTTTGTTCATCTTTACCTCTGCCATTTTGTCGGCTCTGTGTCCGAAATATTTACAGCCATCTTTTATCTAACTATCTGTATTTACTCTTTCATTATTGTTCAGTGATTACTGATTTGTAGTTTAGTAGAATTTAGTTTTTCTATGATCAGCTTGCTGCTAATCAAGCTAGCCACTATATTAGCTGTCTAAAGCTAATGTGTTGCTAATAAATTATTAAGTAGCTAAATAGCTAACAGCTAACTGTTGAATTACAGTTGGAATATCTGCTGGGTATTTTACTCTTTTTACTTTGACTCTTGGGGACTCGTATGTGTACGTTTACTAGATTACATTGAGAACAATAAAATAAACCATTATGAGACAATTGTTTGACCAAGGGGAAATTAAGATGAAGAAAAACTTGCACTGTTGAACTTCCGATCAAAAAAAACAATTGACTTAATAAACTTGTTAGACAGCACATGTTCTTGGAATAATTACTTGAAGCTATGCCAAAGTTCAGTCATTGTGACATTGTTGTGGCACAAGCCTGTATGTGAGCAATGCTGTTACTGCATGTTTGTGTCAACCAAACAATAATTCATTTTGTATTAGAATTGTTTTGTAAATCACATACTTGAGTAAATAATTATGAAACAGAAGTGAAATTGCTCTTTTTGGTCATTTATTTCTTTATCTTTAAATAAAAACAAGATTGTGAAGTTCCAGCAACACTAGGACAACTAGAGTTACTTATTACTAAGTAAGTAAGTTAGTAAGTATTAGTATTATTATCTTTAATGTCTTTAAAATCATCAACTCTATATCAATGACTTACAATCCTCATCCAAATGATTATATATGTATGTGTATATATTTATATAAATGTTTATCTGAATCACATAAAACATAAAACTTTACATCTTTACAAAACATTACAAAACAGGAGTCACATTTTTTGTCGTCCTCCACATCAGTGGGTTAGAAAAAAAACACAGACAAGCAGGTTAACAGCTGTGTGGCGAGACAGCAGGTAGTTGGAGACACTGATAGATTTTAACTTAATTCATTGAGTATTTATATACGTGATGAGTCATAGGCTATTTTTATACTTCTGATAATACCCACCTCCTTCCTTCTTCCACCACTTCCTCCTTTCTCATCACCTGCCAGCTGCGTCCAGTGGGAATATTTTTCTAAGTTGATATGAGTGTGTCTTTGCACATTGATTTCAGACTTGATATACGTTTATGGCATTGTTGTTAAGGCAACATTGTTAATTCTTCCTTTATGAATTCATTTGTAGATTTGTTTTTATCAAAGATATCTGTGTTTCAGGTTAAGTGCTCCCATATACTTTTATGACTACAAGTGAGTGTTGTTATGTGCAGCATTTAATTCAAATAATCACAACATTCTCCCTGATTGGTGCTCAGGGTCTGTATTTACCAAAAACAAAGTCAGGAAAAAGTCCAACACATCAAAAGAATCATCTCATGTGTTGATATTCTGATAAATGTGCTGACGTGTTTCAGCATTAAGCCCGTATCAGAGCATCTGCAAAACCAGTGAGCTCCCTTATTAAAAAGCTCATCTTGTGATCAGCAATCAACAGAAACTAAAAAATCAAATACAATATATAAAAACACATCCTATTTATATATTTTTATGTCTTATTTCTGGACTCTTTTGG